CTCATCATCTCAGTGTCTGGCATACTCTGCAGAGGACAAAACAGACCCGGTCCAGCAACAAATTCAAGGTTTTTTTTTTTCCATTATCTTTCCTCACAGACACTCTTAACATTTACTGGCCCATTCTTGTCTTTTAGGTCTTTATTTAAATGTTACTTTCTCAAAGAGACCTTCTTTCTTTCTTTTCTTTCTTTTTTTTTCTTTTGCTGTTGGAATTCCTCTCTTTTTTTATTTGTTCTTTTTTAGATATACATAACAATAGAGTGAATTTTGACATATTATACACGCATGGAATATAGCATTCTAAGTAGAATCCCATTCTTGTGGTCGTCCATGATGTGGAGTTACACTGGTCGTGTATTCATATATGAGCATAGGAAAGTTATGTCCAATCCATTCTGCTCTCTTTCCTATTGCCCTCCCCTCTTCCTTCCCCTCATTCTCACTTGTCTAATCCAATGAACTTCTATTCTTCCTCCTCCCACCCTCCCTCTTTGTGGGTTAGCATTCACATATCGGAGAAAACATTCGGCCTTTAATTTTGGGGGGGATTGGCTTATTTTGCTTAGCATATATTCTCCAGATCCATCTATTTACCAGCAAATGCCATAATTTCATTCTTTTATGGCTAAGTAATATTCCATTGTGTATATATAACACATTTTCTTTATCTATGTATCTGTTGACGGGCACCAAGGTTGGTTCCATAGTTTGGCTATGATAAATTGAGCTGCTGTAAACACTGATGTGTCTGTGTCACTGTAGTATGGTGATTTTAAGTCCTCAAAGAGACCACTCTTGCCCAAATTTAAAATGACCACCTGTTCTCCACCAAACACTGGTTTACTCCTTCTGATAGTTTCTCAGCATTTCAGCCTATGTTATAATTCTTTTTGTCTCTTGTGTCTAAAATAAGACTCCATAGTTTGGTAATCCACATTTTGGTTTGGTTTTGTCCATGGCATAGAAAAGCTCAGTCCTGGCTTCCTCACAAGGAATGCTGGTGGAGAAGGGGAGCCTGAGAGGGGTCTCTGGATGGCTCCAGAAACTAGGGAGAAGAGAAGTCTCCCTTCCTCCTTGAAGGGAGCTGAGCTTGTGTAGAGAAGGCACTACAGAGTAGAGTGAGAAGCTTTTTCTCCTCACTCCCAACTCCTCTGGCTCTCCATACTGTCCCCAACAAAGGTCCCCAACCCCTGCCTTCCAGAGTCTGTTTCCCCACCCCACCTGCCTTCCCCTCAGGCCTCCTATCTGACTAGAGCCAGTCTTTGGTTTTCCAGGAAGCCTTGGTCTTTTGGAGAAATACCTTTGCTTGTTCTGAGCTGTCACTACCCAGTATTTATCTTCCTCTCCCCTGCCCCACCCTAACCCTCTGCCTTGGCCTCATGCCTACTGAACTTTGTCCTAATGGGGTGGAATATTTTCCCAACTGCCAATAAAAGTCCCATGGCTGAGATTTTTTTTTTTTTTTTTAAGTAAACGAAGGGATGAACTTACACCTATTGCACAAATTGCAAGCCAACTCTTTTGGTAACATTATCTCACTGGGAAATGTAATTTGATAAAAGAGAGGTTGGTTGAACTTTCAGATACCTTTATTTATTTGTTTATTTATTTATTTATTAAGCTACCCGAGCTGGAAGTCGATGCCACCTAGGCATCCTCAATGCAATCAATCAGAGGCCAACTGGGACCCGACTCAAGCAACAGGCGGCTCCTGCTAGCACTTTTCCTTATAGTTGATGAGTAGAGAAAAACATTGGCTGTGATTTCTCAATAATCAGGATCTATTGTACTTTTTTGTGTAGACTAGCTGTCATTAAATTCAGTTATGTGCCTATCTTTCCCTTTGCAATGCTCCATTTATATTTCCCAGTCTTAATTTGCAAGGACGATTGTCCCTCCTCATAGTTATGTGGGCATAGAAACCATTCTTTTCCTGTGGGATGGCCAGCAGGGCACCCCCACTTACAGCAATGTACTGCAAAGAAAGTGCATTGTACAATTAACACATTTAAACTTGCCCAGAGAGAATGGCCTTGTCCTCAGCTCCTGGGAGGTCATCTCTTAACTCTTATAATGTCCTGCCCTATGTATGTTTTGCTTAAAGGACGTGGGTCATTCCAGATAGTCTAACAATGTAATTTATGGTGAAAGATTTGGAAACAGTACCAACTTGACCTCTGAAGGGACTGGAGATTGAGGTCACTGTATCAACATTTCTAAGAAAAGGTCCTATGAAAAATTCTACACACCAATGCAGTGGAGAGCTTCCTCGGCCAAGAGAGCACCATGTTTGTTTCCAGAAGGATTTATCATTGTCCACGACAGAGGACAGTTGGGAGCTCTGTGTGTGCAACTGTACTGGATTCTACCCTACCATTCTCTTCCCTTGGCTGATGTTAACCTGAATCCTTTTGCTGTTATAAACTGAAATGATATATATAAAATAGCTTTTCGTAGGTCCTGAGAATCTTTCAAGGGAAGTATTGAACTTGAAGTGTGCCGCAGTCCGGCTGCAGCAAAATAACCGGGGGGGGGGGGGGGTGACAAACAACTTGTGTAGATTGATACAGCAGGAGTAGGAGCCGTTTATTGTAGGACAACAGAGGTATTTATACATTCCACATAGCTTATCTAATTAACATAAACTCGATACAGCAGTCAACCAATAAGAAATCTCCACACTTGATGGCTCGCTGGCATCACTTCATAAACCACTCCCTCTGGCAAAATGCCAGGTGCCATCCTGACTTGTTTACAGACCTTAACATTAACCACTCCCTCTGGCAAAATGCTAGGTGCCATCCTGACTTGTTTACAGACTCTAACAGAAGTGTTTGTCAGGATCCCTGAATTTGCAATTGGTATCAGAAGTGAGGGTGAACTCAGGGATTGTCACCTAGCTTCACATCATGGACTAGGAATCTGAACATGGGGTCTCCGGTTTGGGCTGGATAAATCATTTTATCTCTTTGAACCTCCTCTCCTCCTCACTTAATAGGGGAGTAGTATCTGCTGCCCACTGGAGGAGGTGACTATGAGGATTGAGGTGGACATGAATGGCTGTCCAGCTCCATGCAAAGGACATCACTTGGTACATGTGTATTAAGTGCCCTACCATGTCTAGGCCCATTTGATAATGATGGTGTCAATGAAGATCCCATTCCTACAATGACTGACTGCATCTCTCTATAAAGAAAAAAATAGGGATTAGGGCTGAAGAATACATAACTCCCGAAGCCTGAGTGGAACACAGTTCTCTGAATTAAGGATTTAGGAGTCACTTACTTGAAAGAATGTGTGCTATGCACGCTCTATATACACAATAACAACAATAACAAAAACACTATTTAAATTACAATACACTTATTACCTACCAGAATGGCAAAGTCAAAATCTTAACAAACCACTCTGTGGCAAGGCTGTGAGAATAGAAAGTGGTACAACCCCTGTTGAGGGGAATTGAACAACATCTAACAAAATTACATAGAATTTGGCCCTTGACTCAGAAATCTCACTTCTGGGTGCTTATCCTGAATAACCTCTAACAATTCCATGTATAAACAATTCTAGAATAAATTACTATGTATATAATAATTTATAAGTACAAAATATTAAGAACAACCAGGATGTCCATTATGTAAGAAATTGTTTGAGTAACTTATGGCACACCTCCACAGTGCAATACTGTGGGCACTATACAAACCAATATGTTGAGTTTCAGAACTGGAAAAAAAAAAAAAGGAAAAGAAAACAACAAAGAAGATCTCTGTATGCAAACAGAGATCTTTTTCATACTGTTAAATGAAAAAAAAAAAAAAAAGTTCACCAAAATTACAAAAGATGTCCCTGAATAAAAAAGAGTCAGAATGATACCAAAGAAAAAAATAAATAGAAAGAAAAAGGAAGCTCCTCTTTCACTGCAAGAGAAAGTAAGATGCCAACTAATAAATGCAAAGGGACCAAGACAGGTAGAAAAAGCACCCTTTCATAATAATCACTGCTCAGGCTAGAATCATCAATGGATGCTAAATCCACGGGGCTGATGTTTGTCAGGGCAAAGGATATTCACAATATTTGTGCAATCTTTAAGCGGTTCTCTCAGATTACTTATCAGCTACAAATTTACCAGTTTCAAAGAGGATGCCACTTTAGTCAAGAGTTTAAATAACAAGTGTACGGGCTGGGGATGTGGCTCAAGTGGTAGCGCGCTTGCCTAGCATGCGTGAGGCACTGGGTTCAATTCTCAGCACCACATAAAAACAAAATAAAGGTCTGAGGTGGTCGCTCAGTGGCAGAGCGCTTGCCTAGCATGTGTGAGGTACCGGGTTTGATCCTCAGCACCACATATCAATAAATGAAATAAAGATCCATTGGCAACTAAAAAAATAAAAACATAAAAAAATAAAGATATTGTGTCCACCTAAAACTAAAAACATTAATAATAAAAAATTAAAAATAAATTAATTAACAGATCTAATAATAGGACAAAATGAGTGTGGGTGTGTCTTCTGATGGAAGGTACTGAAAAGACCACAGCATCACAAACAGAGTTGCTGTCAGTCAAAAATGTGCATTCTGAATTAAATCATGAGAAAAATGTCAAACCCCAGTTCTGGGACATCATACAGAATAGTGGACGACTATACTCTTCAGAGGTATCAATGTCTTGAAAGACAAAGAAAGGCCAAGGAATCATTAAAAAGACTGCATCAATAGTAAAACTTTTGTTCATCAAAGGGCAATATCAGCCAAGGGCAGTGGTCCACACCTATAATCCCAGCTACTCAAGAGGCTGAGGCAGGAGGATCTCAAGTTTGAGGCCAGCCTAGGCAATTTAGTGAGACCCTATTTCAAAAAAAAAAAAAAAAATGAAAAAGGGTGGGAATGTAGCTGAGTGGTTGAGCACTTGCCCAGCATGCACAAAATACTGTGTTCCATTCTCATTCTGCAAATAACAACAACAACAATAACAACAACAGAACAACTACTTACCTGAGTTCAGTTACATGAGGTAACTCACATAGTTAAAGTCATTTAAACAAAAAGCAGAATGATGGGGAAGGAGAAATTGGAGGGGGCCACCATTTAATGGATATAGAGTTTCAGTTTTGCAAGATAAAAAAAATTCTGCAGATCCATGGCACATCAAAGTGAATGTACTTAATGCTACTAAAGGATACTCTAAAATGGTCGAGAGGGTTAGTTTATGTTTATCTTATCACAATTAGTGTAAAAAAAGCATCATACTCAAAAGTAAGACTGGCTGAGACTCTTAACTTTACCACCAATTAACTCACTATTCTGATACACTAAATATAAAACTTTCAATTGGATTTGGAATACCTTTTCCTTATGAGAAATTCCAGCATTATGTCTATTAAAAGGAAAAGAGAACTATTAGATTATTTAAATATAATTTAATTGCAGCTTTATTCAAAAGAGCCAAACTAGAAACAACCTCAGTGTCTGAAAAGAGAAAAATTATGGGATATCTATACTATGGACAACTGCTCAGCAGTAGAAGGGAACAAGCCACGGAGACACACAACAGACTCCACATTGAATGACTCCAGTACGAAATTCTAGTAAAGGCAGAGCTATAGGGACAGAAGGCAGGTCAGTGGTATGCCACTGTCAGGGTACGCTGGCGATGGTGACCAAGTGGAACAGGGAACTTCTAGGGGAGATGGGAGAGTTGTAAAACTTAGTGGTTGCATGACTGTACATTTACAGAATTCATTGAACTTGATCCTAAAAGGGGTGGATTTTATATTTAAATCACACCTCAATAAAACCAGAATTAATGGGAGGAGGAAAAAGAGAAGGTAGTAGTAGAAGAAGAGGAGGACAGTCCTCAGACAGAATTTTGTCACTTGTGCAAATCTTCAGCAGGCAGGACAGCCCTTGGAAACCTCTTCTGTCGGCTCCATTAAGTCCTGGCTCTCTGGCTTCTGGGTTCTCCAATGGCACCTTCCAGGAAAGGCTGTCTCTGGGCAGATGCGACGATCCCTATTCTGGGAGCAGCTCTGGGAACTGAAGTGCAGAACTTGTGCACGTGGCTGCTTCAGGTCTGAGCCTGGTGCCCTGGCCTGACTCCATCCCTGTGCCCTGCCCATGCCAGGGGTCAGCACGGCACCTAGCCGTGCCCAGGGAACAAACACCACCAACTTCACGAGTGAAAACGAATTCCTAGTCCACATTAGCTGATCAGCAGAGCCTCCGGCGTTGATCTGAGATCAGAGTAGCTGAAGCACTGTCCCTCCTGACTCTGGAGGGTGGGCTTCTGAATTTTTTTGAACAGTATGTTTTGGAAAAAAGTCCAACTTACAAAGAAGTTTCATCAATAGGACAATGAACTTCATCTAAACTTCATTAACCTTTTTATCTAAGCCCACCCATTGTTACCATCGTGGTCACATTTGCTCACAGGCTCTTTTTCCATACGTGCATGTGTGTATATACGAATGTGTACATTTACACACATGTGTATGATGTATAAGGATGTACATCTGTGTGTCTGTCATCTAGAATACACAGAGACTTATTTTTGCTGAACTGTAAAGATACCCCTCCCAGCTAAACCATTCTGAGTATATCTCCTAAGAACAAAGACATTCTCACACAATCACCGAAAAATCATCACAGCGAAGACATTAATATGATTACGGTATTATCATGTAATATAGTGTCCATTCTGTATTTTGCCAGTTGTTCCGATAATATCCTTTATTAACCTTTGTTTTCCAGCTAGGCTTCAAATCCTAAAGTAAGTAAGGCAGTTAGTCATCTAATCTTTTTAATCTCCTGCACATGGAACAGCTGCACAGCCAATTTTTGTCATAACACTGCACATTTTTTTTTAAGAAGACAGGCACTGGGCTGGGGATGTGGCTCAAGCGGTAGCGTGCTCGCCTGGCATGTATGCGTGCGGCCCGGGTTCGATCCTCAGCACCACATACAAAGATGTTATGTCCGCCAATAACTAAAAAAAAAAAAAAAAAAAAAAAAGACAGGCACATCATTTTATAGAGAGCCCCTTGATTTGGGATTCTTGTTTCCTCGTGCTCTCCTCCTCCTCCTCCTCCTCTTCCTTCTTCTTTTTTGCAATGCATTTTAGGCAAACAGCACAAAAGAAATGTTCCTTCCCTCAGAGAACCTTAGGAGTGATGCACTCTCTGATGCGAGTGTTGGGCCTTTGCTTAATGGGATGGGTCTAACAGAGTCTCCCCTGGTCAAAGTTGCTTTTCCTCTGCTTGGATTAACGTCAGCTGTGCAGTGGTACCACCAGTTACCTGAATATCCTGCTCCCAAGCAAACCCACCCCAAAGAACCAAATCATGAAGTTGGAACTTTGAAAGGAAATGGAGTCTCCCCTGAACTTGGCACAATCCTAAAACTACATCCACACAGTGCCATACCAAATTCCAGGGCAGTCAGGACAGTCAATCTAGAGAGGTGTCCCCCGAGGGTTTTCTGATGGAATTCAAAGGGTCTTTCTTACACTTCAGGGGGAAACCAAGCCTGTCCTTGTTTTCAGCAACCCCGGTATGAAATCAAATTTTCCCTTCAGAGATAACTGAGGCAACAATCCACAGCAGTACCTGTGACGATGTCATCCATCTAAATTCCTGTTTTACCTGGTATCACATGAAGAATACGATATACAATAATCACTTGTTTAAAGTCCTAGTAGTTGTGCCAGGCATAGGGGTGGGAGGTAAATGCCTGCAATCCCAGCGACTTTGGAGGCTGAGGCAGAAGGATCACAAGTTTAAGGCCAGCCTCAGCGATTTAGCAATGCCCGAAGTAATTTATCAAGATCCTGCCTCAAAATAAAAAGGGCTGGGGATGGAGGTTAGTGGTAAAGTGCCCCTGGGTTCACTCCCCAGTACTAATCAATCAATCAATGAATCAAATCATAGTGTTGTTAAATTCACCATTACATCTGTTATTTAATGTATTTAAAAAGAGAAGCACACATATTACACATCACAAGTTTTAAATACATTTTGACAGCAGATTTTCAAAGTTTCCTTTGTAATCCTACGTATTTTAATCCATGCACCTAAAAACATTACCCTGAAAGGGAGTCCATGGCCCCTGAAAAGGTTAACAGCTCCACCTGCGCCCTCTCACCTCCCAGCTGGTTCTCCGCATGTTTCCAGAATCATCTTCTGCAAACACCAGCTCTCCTGGCTTTCCTCCTTGGCTCTTGAATGCTTGTTGATTTGGGCACCAGAATAAATGACATCCTTCCAAAGTCTGGCACAGCCTGGGGCCCAGCGCCTCACATGCTATCCCTCTGGTGTGCACCAGAGCCGCACCTCCTGGGCCTCCCCGTCTTCCCTTCGTTCTTTTGCTCCTGCCTTGGAAGCCACGCTCTCACTCTTGTGCCTGTGGAGAACACCTACTGGTCCTTGGGACTCGGTCTGTTGTGAAGCCCCCCCTGATCTCCCAGCCCAAGCCACCCCTTCCCTTTTTCTTGGCCTGGTTCTTGCTCTGTCCCCCCTTCCCAGCCCTCCCCTGTGCCTGGCTGGGGCCAGTGTTTGGGTCTCACCTGTCTCTTCCCCGTTGAGCAAACTCTGCAGGGATATCTTCATACCATATTTTCAGCATCTGGACCAGGGCTGAAACTTTGCATATGATTAAGAAATTGGTCAATTGAATAGATAACAACAAATCCCCATTTTAAAGTAGGAAATCTTAGGCTGAGCTTGAGCCTTGAAAAGGCAAATGGTAGCCCCAAGGTTAGAGCCCAAGGCTCTGTGTCTCCAGCCTAGTCCTTTACCCACTGTAGAAGACCGAGGGCCTAACCAGTTCTGCAGCTTCCTGACTTGGAATTTCTCTAGGACTGTTTTGGTTGTCAGCTTCCTGTTGCTGCAATAAATACCAGAGGCAATTAGTTTATAAAAGAAAAGGTGTATTTTGGCTCAGTTTTGGAGGTTTCAGTCCATGACCACAGTTGGGCCTGTTGCTTCTGGGTCTCTGGAGAGACCCAGGAGTGTATAGGGAGTAAGGAGAGAGAAGAAGCAGAGACAGAGATCCGGGTCCCACAATCCCCATAAGTGGCCCAACTCAGTGATCTAAAGACCTTTCACTAGGCTCCACCTTTAGAGGTTCCACCACCTACCAATGCACCATGGCTGGGGACCCAGCCTCCAGCGCATGGGCTTTCGAGGGACATTCCAGACCCAAACTCTAGCACTGTTAGTTATGTGGTCCTGCTGAACTGGGCACTCAGTGTTTCTGAGACAGGTTTATATTTATAGATATTTATAAATAAATGTCAGTCTTTATTTACAGATAAATATGGCAGTCACAATTATACCCACCAATTTGTTTGGATGTACTATTTCACCCTGAAATGGTTCTTAACCCCTGAATTTGTGCTTCTCAGAGCCCCACAGACCCATTTTTGCTTTTATACCTTAGTACCTCCTTATCCATGGTTTCACTTTCTGGGTTTCAGTCATGTATAGTCAACTATGATCGAAAAAATTAAATGGAAAATTCCAGAAATAAACAATTCATACATTTTAAATAACTTTTATTACAGCATATTGTTACCATTATTCTATTTTATTATTAGATATCATTGCTAATCTCTTACTTGCCTAATGTATAAATTAAAATTTATTATAGGCCTATGAGTACAGGAAAAATATATTAGGGTTCAGTCATCCACTGGGGATCCTGGAAAGTATTGGCTAAGTGACAACTGCTACATTTGAAAACTTTCAAATGTTCAGAAAAGTACATAAAACAATTTAATGAGCCCATTTGGACATTTAACAGTTACTAACATTTCACCATTTTTGCTTCATATTTGCTTTTTTATGATTTGCTAAAGTATTTTAAAGTAAATGATGAACATCAAAAGATCACAACCTTAATTAACATGGGCAATGTCTTCTAAAACCACAATTCCTTCATCACATGTAAGAAAATAAGTTTCTAAAAATCATCTTACCCACAGATCATATCCAAATTTTTCCAGTCATCCTACATAATATTCCACAGCTGGTTTGAGTCAGTGCAGACCAGTTCCCCTCCTCTTCTTTGCCTCATGCTCTTGTCTTTTCTTTCATTCGAGGGTTCTATCCTCGGGGCCTCATGGTTGCTAGGCAAGTGCTCTACCACTGCACTACATTCCCAGCCCTGGTACAAATATTCCCAAGGTGATGACTTCTCTTTATATTTCAGCATACTTGCATGCTCAAACTCTCCAGATGCTAAGGTTGGCTGAATTTCATTCCCAATGGGCTGGTATTTCCATGGTAGAATTGTTTCCCTCTTCAACCAATATCAATCAATACGTGTCAGAAATTTCCCTCCTTTAAGACTGGATAATATTCCATTGTATGTATGTGCATATGTTGTATAACCATTCATCCATCAAGAGGTGTTGGAGGGCTGGGGATGTGGCTCAAGCGGTAACGCGCTCGCCTTGCATGCGAGAGTCGCTGGGTTCGATCCTCAGCACCACATAAAAATAAAATAAAGATGTTGTGTCCACCGAAAACTAAAAAATAAATATTAAAAAAATTCTCACTCTCTTTAAAAACAAACAAACAAACAAAAAACCTAGCCTCCTCCAAGCCTTTCAGCAAAGACTCACCTGTCCTGCCTCCTGCCTGATGTATTTCAGCACCCTTTAAAAAAAAAAAAGAGGTGTTTGAATTGTTCCTATTCTTTTTAAAAAATTTTTCCATTTGTTCTTTGTAGTTATACAGTGAATAGAATGTATTTTGACAATCATACATACATAAAGTATAACTTCCCTCCTTCTTCTTCTTCTTCTTTTTTTTTTTTAATTCAGTCTCTATAGAGACTGTCAAAAATTGCCAGTGTTGCTTATATTGCAGGTCATCAAGGCCGGGTATTGGAAAAAGTTTTCAATTAGCAATAATCACACTTCAGATAAACTTTATTGGCTATGATACTGCCACTACGCAAAGCTGCCTTTCTTATTCTTTATGATGCTCCATTTTTCTCTATTTGGATGGGTGGGAGCCCTTTCTAGTCAGTCCTGAGATGTTTGTCAAGATGCTACTGATCTTTGATAATTAGATTTCTTTCTTATTTTTGGAGAAGGAGACAAATTCTGGGGACTGAACCCCGGGGTGCTGTATCACTAAGCTACACCCACAACAGAGTCACAGCCAAAACACCGTCGCATACAATTTACATACAATGTTTTCTCTGATATGTGGATGCTGATCCATAATGGGGGTCAGGGGCAGCAAGGGAGGAATAGAGGGACTTTGGATTGGGCAGAGGGGAGTGAGGGGAGGAGAGGGGACAGGGAGTGAAAAAGATGGTAGAATGAGACAGATATCATTACCCTAGGTACATGTAGGATTGCAGGAATGGTATGACTTTACATCATGTACAACCAGAGAAGTAAAAAGTTGTGTTCCATTTGTGTGTAATTGAAATGCATTATGTCATGTATAACTAATTAGAATAAATTTAAAATTAAAAAAATAAGAAAGATTAATAATGTTTCCATATTAGTAATTACTGCTAACAATTCACCCCATGCAATAACAGCTTATAAATAACAATAATCATTTTTTTTAATCCGTCTTAATTTCTGTGGTTTAGGATTTGAGAATAAGTTGGTTGCGCAGTTTGGGCTTCTGGTCTCTTGTGAAACTGCAGTCAGATATTGGCTGAGGTGAGCCACAGTTATCTGAAGGCTTGACTGGGGCTAGAGAAGCCAGCCATTTGTTGGACAGCTCCCTCGTGTGGCTGGCAAGTTGGTGCTAGCTGTTGATGGGAGGCCTCAGTGCCTCTCTGCCTGAGCTTCTCCACAGAGCTGCTTGAGTGGCCACACAACATGGCAGCTGGCTTCCCTTAGAGTGAATGGCCCACGAGAGCAAGACAGAAGACATGGCTTTTATGGCCTAGACTTGGGAACCACACATTTTCACAGGTTTCTATTGGCCACCAAGATCAGTCTAGAACCCAGCCAGGAAGGGACCACACAAGGGTATGAACACTTTGAACCAGAGCTCACCATAATAAACACCACTGGAGTTAAAGTAGACCTCAGATATACCAAAATAGCTTTAAAAAAAAGAGACATAAGAAGAAAAATAATAGGACATATCCAATTTTTTATTTACCTTTTATGTGCACAAAACCACACTTGAAATATATTTTAGTTTCATAAATAGGGGAGACTAAGAAGACTAAAGCTACCTCTTCCTGGTGAATATATATGCTGTATTATATGTATGGTAGCCAGATATTCATCACTGTGACAAAATACCAGAGAGAATCAACTTACAGTGTGGAAAGGTTGATTTTGGCTCACAGTTTCAGACCAGGTCACTTGGCCCCATTGCTTTGGGCCTTTGGTGAGTCAGAATATCATTACAGGGAGCACAGTAGTAGAGCAGAGCTGCTCACCTCATGGTGGCCAGGAAGCAAAGAGAGAGACAGAGAGGAAGAAAAACTAACCCTTCAAACATACACCCCAGCTATGACCTACTTTCTCCAACAGGGACCCACTTCCTTCTGTTTCCACCTCCTCTCAGTAGTGCCACCCATCAGGGACCCATCCTTCGGCACCTGAGCTTTCAGAGGACATTTCAGACCCAACCATAGCAGTAGGTATGTTTTATGCCTCAGAGATATAAATCATGTGAAGTGTAGGTATCACAAAAACTAACTGGCTACTGAGATCACAGCTAAACTCAATTTGGTAAAATTTTTTTACAGTGTTAGTAAAAGAAATATGAAAGACATTATTTTTGAGTCTAAGCATAATTACTTTTTCATCTCAATAAACATCATCTTTTATCTGTTCAGAGTGGATTACAATTGAGATTTTTCTAGGCAGTGTATGAAGTTGTAGGTTCTCTGTGCACTGGAAATTCAACTCTTCCGTTCTCTCTTTGAAAGTCTTTGTATTTTGATGATTTCTGAGTGTCCTTCCTTCCTTCCTTCCTTCCTTCCTTCCTTTCTTAGCAATATTGGGGGTTGAACCCATAGTCTCAGGCTAAGCATGCCAAGCAAGTGTTCTCCCACTGAGACACAAGACACAGCCCTGATCACCCCTGACATTTTTTTTTTTTTTTGAGACAGAATCTTTAAGTTGCTAAGTTGTCCAGGTTGGCCTCAAACTTGTCACCCTGTCCCCGGCCCCTGTGTAACTGGAATTATAGGTATGTACCACCAAGCCTAGCTCATATTCTGGAATTTTTCACCAAGAGTAGGTTGGTCTCTTTGGCATATATACTCAAATGACTAATGAGGCCTCTTCATGCAAAATCCATGCATTCTAACAGCACACCATAGTCCCAGAAGATGTGTTCAGTCAAGTCTGACAGCAGCCAGGTCATGAATCCCACAGCAGAGTCACAGCCAAAATACCGTCCCATACAACTCACTTAAAATCAGCTGTATGTGCATTCTGAGGGCGACACAGAGACAGATGGAAGATAAAGTGAGTTTATATCGCAAAGGAGATTTTGGCTTACTGTTCCCATCAATAAGTTCATGCCCTGGAGTAGGAGAGACGTTGGAGTTTGGAACCAAACACTCCTTCGTGTGCTCTTGGTTTCTAGGTTTCTCTCCCGGTGGGTTTCACCCTGTGAGGGGGCTTCTACTGTGTTGGGCACATATTTCTGATAGAGCAAGACCGTGTGTGCTCAACAACTACTTCTGCTGATGCTCAGATGGAAACAAACACACAGAAGTCAATCCGTTTATCTCTGGGAGCAGGAGAAAGGGCTATTTTTGTCAGTAAATATGTCACTTACCATTGTATTATGTAAAGATGGACCCCGACATCAGACCTTACTAAGAGCCACAGATTATGAACAATAATTTTGGCAATACTAAATTCCAGCTTATATACATTCTTTTTGATTGTTATTTGTGTGAATGTGTATGTGTGTGTGTGTGTGTATGTGTATGTGGGTGGGTGTTCTTGTGGTGCTGGGGATTGAACCCATGGCCTCACTGATGGGCTCCACCATTAGGCATGTGCTCCTTCACTAAGCTTACCTCCAGCCTCACGTATATTCTTTTATTTTGTATGTGTACTTTTAAAAATGTATTTGTTCCTTTTAATTACACATGACAATAGAATGTATTTTGACATACATACATGGAGTATGATTTCCCGTTTTTGTGGTTGTACATGATGTGAGTTACACTGGTCGTGTATTCATATATGAACATGGGAAAGTTATGTCTGATTCTTTCTACTGTCTTTGCCATTGCCATCCCCTCCTCCTTCCCCCCACTCCGCCCTGTCCAATCAAGTGAACCTCCACTCCCCACCCCCGACCCTGCCTATTGTGAGTCAGCATCCAAATATCAGAGAGAACATTCAGCCTGTGGTTTTGGAGACTGGCTTATTTCACTCAGCATGATAGCCTCCAGTTCCATCCACTTACTGGCAAATGCCATAATTTCATTCTTCTTTATGGCCGAATAATATTCCATTGTGTATATATACCACATTTTCTTTATCCATTCATCTGTTAAAGAGCACTTAGATTGGTCCCATTAGCTTAGCTATTCACATTGAGTTCCTGAGGGTATCAATCAGCTTCATCACTGGGACCAAGATATGCAACAAGAACAACTTAGAGGAGGGAAAGCTTATTTTGTCTCACGGTTCCAGAGATTTAGTCCATGGTTGGCTGAGTCCATTGCTCTGGGCCCAAGGTGAGGCAGAACATCATAGCAGGAAGACATGGTGGAGGATCACTGCTCCATTCATGGCTGACCAGAAAGCAGAGTGTGGGGAGCAGGCTGTGCCCTGTGCTGAGAAACTCCGTGTATAGAACAGCAGTTTGGGGGCTGTGCCTAAACCTGAGTTACTCCATTTTTGTAAAGCAGCAGTTTGCCACAAGTTGCTCCGTTGTGAGTGCAAGTGCCAAGGTAGAATGACTCCATACCTTGTTTGTGCACGTGGATGACCACCATCTGACTGGCACTAAATAACTGACATGTGCCAACTTATCAAGCTGAAGCAAGGAGCACCTGGACACTTGGATATTCCAAATCCTATCGGGAACACCAGACGTGGGAGCTCATCACTCTCAACAGAGGCACCCCCCTCGCTGGAGACCTGCAAAAGGAGGGACCCCTGAGGCTCAACACGATGACACCCTTGACCCCATCACTGGCCACTCATCACAAGCCTTGCCCAGGAAAACCACCCCAGTGACAAACCTCTGAATCTCTGTGCTCGGGCTGCAGCAGAGCGCAGTTTCTCCTGCCCATGATGACCACAGAGGGCCCATGCTAAGCTGACACCTTGAGCTGACACCTGAAACTGAGACTGTTGTCCATCCTGTTGGACCCTCTGCTTTGATGAGTCTGTGGAACTGGGGAACTGGTTCCTTAAAGTCCTTATGGCCACCCACAGTGACCCTGACTCTCAGCATTCATATCTCTGCCTGTGCTGGTGGCCCAGCGTCCTCCTACCTGCTGCTCTCTTAGCCTTTTCTTAGTCTTTCTATATGTCAGCAGATGATGTATGAGAGTGACTTGAATGTTATAGATATTAGAAATTAAGACTCGAATGAAAGAACTTGTGTTTGCTGGGCTTATGACTATCAGTGAACTGAAATGGATGAAAGTGGTGTAGCCTGTGAATTTGTTGTTATTCAATAAATTCTGACATTGTGGAAAGACACAAACGTGTTTGGTCTATGTTAGTGAATTATCTTGTTCATGACAGAGAGGGAAGGGCAAAGGGGCCACAGGAAAGATGACCCCTTTCAGGGCAGCCCCCAGTAACCCACCTCTTCTGCCACATCCCACCTGCCCACAGTTACCACTCAGTCCTTTTGACTAGGATGGACTGATTAGTTTACAGTCATTTCACCTCTGAGCATTCCTGAATTGATACAGGAGCTCTCGGAGGATGCCTCATATCCAAACCAAAATGCTAAGAAAACTGTGTTAGTTCTCCAGAGAAATCGGGGTGTGTGTGTGTGTGTGTTTGAAATAAAATAAATAAATATCAATTACATCTAAAAAAAAATACTGTCACAGAAATAGCTAGACCAAACAGCTGGATACAATGGCCTAGGCAACTTGATCTAGAAAATTAAACAACTCCAAGGCTCAGGTGGGAACCCACTGAACCAACAAGGCCCCGTTAATCCCCTCATTGATTTCACTCCCTTTCTTGTCACCAAAAGCGATAATTTTTGACATCTGAAACTGAAATCTAATATCTGGTGGGAAAACGCCAATTCCTTTCTCTTGGAGTCATGAAGACATGGTCCTTGGCACTCTCTGAGGACAGCAGCTGAACTATTACAAGTGGGGGCAGAGTGGACACAGAGACCTGGTTCCTGGTGAGAACTGTAAGTCGGCAGAACCAAGGGGCAGGATACCTGGCCAGCCTTCCTCGTAGGGCTGCAGCTCCAGGGCGGAAGAGGCAGAAGCCCCCAGGGCTGAGCTTCTGCCAAGCAGCAGAGGCTGGTGGGTTTTTCTGAGGACAGGGCTCCAGAGGCCAGCCTCCAGGAGTCATCCAGTGACACAGGCAGCTGGAAAGCCCATAACCCACAACACCAAACCAGGGGGATCCTCTAGAAGCATAGAGCAAATCTATGCTGTGCGTGTACTTATTACCCACGGTGCAGGAGAACGCCCAGCAGATTGGCATGAAATGCCTGCGGATCCTGTGGGGACTCGGCCTGGCCAGGTTTTCTAGATCACAGGTGTTCCATGGCGGTGGCACCCAGCCAGGACCTCTCACCCGTAAACACAGGGTTCATTCCACCTTTGTCCCTGGGTCAGGTGAATTTATCATGCTGTCCCTTAGAGGGGACAGTGGACAGAAAATGGAGAGGAGAATGACTGTGTGGAGTGGCATGCAGAACTCCCCACCCCCACCTCCAAGTCTGTGGGGCCCCATTTTGTCCTGGATCTTGGTGACACCAGCAATAGTACAACACATGTGTGACAGGTCTCCCTTTCCTCCGCCCTCTGATTCCTTCTCAGTGTCTCTCACTGACCAAACCCAGCAGAGGCCAAGAGGAAGGAAACCCAGAAAATGCCTCCACGGGGTCCAGCCCTCCAGGGTACGGAGCAGAGACAAGAAAGGTGCGGAGAAGGTAAGGAGGGGATGGAGAAAAGCCACCACAGTGGGGCACAGAGACCCTTATCCACAGTTTTACTTCCTGGGTTTCATTACACATGGTCAAATGAGAAAAATAAATGGAAAATTCCAGCAATGAGCAAAAAGCTATTTGAAAGAGACAAGACTCACACGGCTTTTATTATAGTATATCATTCATTATAAATTATTCTGTTTTTAGTTATTCTTGTTAGTCTCTTCTTACTGAACCTAATTTATAAATAAAACTTCATCTGAAGTGTGTATGTACAGGAAAAAAAAAGTCTATGTCAGGTTCAGTACTATCTGAGCTTCAGGCATCCCCTGGGGGGTCTTAAGACAACCCCCACAGGTGAGGGGGAACCACAGGGATGGGTTTCACGAGCTTCCTAGGAGGTCAGAGTCCTTTCTTTGCTTACCTACTGAGGCAGTCCCCAGCCCTTTTTATGTTTTATTGTGAGACAGGGTCTCGGTAAGTTGCTTAGGCCTCACTAAGTTGTTGAGGTTGGCTTTGAACTTGCCGTCCTCCTGCCTCAGCCACCCGAGCCACTGGGATTACAGGCTTCTGACAACATGCCCTGCTCACTCAAAGTCCTTTCAACTGGTGTCTTCGGAAGTAGCCCCTTGCACTATCCGATCAACAAATTCTGAAATAAGTAGATAAGCTTTATAGTCTGTCCTTATTAACCTAAAAAAGTCAATAGGAGTTCCTTTGCTAAATGACAATGTCCTTCAAGGGTAGGCTCAGAGGTGAAGGGGAAGGGACTCATGCCTTGGGGCCCAGAGTCACTGATAAGGGCAATGGTAGTGCTTCATCCTTTCTGCACCCCCAAGAGAGGAGGGCAGCAGATGGGCAGCGGAGAGTTAACCTAGCAAGCCTCACCCTGCTAGGTTTGATCCTTGCCCCCGAATGCAGCCCCTATTGGACAACTTTAAGCCACACACATCTCCCATGAAAAACAAGGAGATTCGGAGAGGAATGGAGTGATTGGAACTCTTGTACATTGCTGGTGCAACCACTGCGGAAAACACTGTAACACAGAATTAGCAGGGCACAGTGGTGTACACCTGTAATCCCTGCAGCTCAGGAGGCTGAAGCAGGAGGATCGCGAGTTCAAAGCCAGCCTCAGCATCTTAGTGAGGCCCTAGGCAATATAGCAAGACCCTAAGCAATGCAGCGAGACCCTGTCTCTAAATAAGATATTTTTTTAAAAGGGCTAAGTAGTTAAGTACCCTTGGGTTCAAACCCCAGTACCAAAGCAATAACAACCACAAACCCAGATACAAATACAGAATTAGCACATGACTCAGCAATTCCACCCCTGGGTATGTACCCCCAAGGAACTGAAAGAAAGCAGGGCCTCACAGATCCCTGTGCTTCAATATTCACAGTAGCATTATTCACCAAACTAGGGTGGAAACTGCCCACGTGTCCAGCAACCACGGATGAATGGATAAGCCAAATGGGGAACCTACATACCATAAATATGACTCAGCCTGAAAAAGGACAGGCATTCTGCCACACTCTGCCACGGAGCATGTGCAGGACATCATGCTGCGTGAGTAAGCCAGTCATAAAAGCCAAACACCGAATGGTCCACTTACATGAGGGTCCGAGAAAGCAGAATAGAAGCTTTGGGGGTTTAGGAGCCGGGGAAATGGACAGTCACTGGTTAATGGGCAGAGTTTTAGTCTTGAGATGAAGAAAAAGTTCTCCAGAACTCCGGTGGTGATGTTTGTGCAACAACATGAATGTACCTACGCCATCGGATGGTCCACTTAAAAATAGTTAAAATGGTAAATTTTGTGTTATGTGTATTTTATCACAATAAAAAAATAAATAAAACAAAACTTTCTGAGCTGCTTCTGATGTGGATGTGTGGTCAGGGTGCTGTCTCCAGGGCAGGAGCCTGAGTTGCCCACCAGCTGCCTCCAGGTGAGGCCTCTAATGGAGGCCCAGGCCTCATCATTGATGATGGCTTCTGTGGTTTCAGGGCTCAAAGGAGCCTCCTGACTCCGGCCTTCCCTCCTCTCTTTGCTCCTCTCCTGTCCTCACCTTGCCACCCCAGCTCCCCAGCCAGTTCCACGCCTCAGCTCCCAGACTGCGGCAGGGCTGGCGCAGGCTTGGCTGGAGTTGTGGCAGTGCCCCTGCTGCACCCAGGGTGGGGTGGAGGCAGGGAGCTGGGGCCAAGCCTGGGGCACCAGGGCTTGCTCGCCCCGGTGCTAACTCTTTATAGCTCATCCTATCGCTGCCCCCCCCCCCCCACAGCTCCTGGGTCCTCAAGTCTGGGCCATGCTGCATTTCCATTGTCCCTGCCACCAGTGTGGAGGCTCAGAGAGTGCCAACCCTGGGACAGATGCCCCAGCCAAACCCTACCCCCCCACTTACCGTTGTGCAATCTCGGGCAATAATAACGTAACCTCTCTGTGTGGTCATGTTCCCATCTGCGCCACAGTGATAACCAATGTCTCCCAGAGGCTCCTTGACAGGAGGTTGAAAGGGTGGGTGTCACATGTTCCCCCTTCAACTCTGTGAAGATGTGCTGATTGGCAGATTATACAGAGGCCTTCTATCACTTGGGCACTCGACTATCCATTTTCTCTTCTCTTAGAATTCTGGACTTCCCTCCTCCACTCTTAGTTCATCTTAGTGGATCAAGAATGAGGTTGACCCTTGCCCCAGGGAGGGTGGAAGCATGTGACCCAGACCCATCCAATCAGATCATCCCACTTCCATGGCCACAGCCGCTGATTTAGGGATGGGTGCATGATCCCATCCAAGCCAAGGAGGCCAATGCCTCAGTCATTTCACTGAGGCTATTGAGAGAAGGCAGTTCTTTCCCAGCGGGGAGGATGGAAGACCAGGGTTGCCAGCAGCCATCTTGGGAAGGATGCCCCAGAGTGAGGTTACCAGAGAGGAAAGCAGAGTCAGAAAAGCTGGAAAGATATGGGTTCCCAGGCGCCGGCTAAGCATATGGATCCAGGAACCCCTCCTTTTTTAGTGCATCGGCCAATACACTCTATTTTCTGCCTAATCCAGTGTGAACCAGATTTGGGCTACTCAGACTGAAACTATCCTAATTCAGACTAATTTCTTGACAGGATGACAGTGGGAGAACTATTACATAACACTGACTGCCTCATAGACTTTCTATTTTTGATACCAGGGATTGAACTCAGTGCACTCGACCACTGAGCTAGATCCCCAGCCCTTTTTTGTATTTTGCTTAGTGCCTCACTGTTGCTGAGACTGTTTTTTTCTTTCTTTCTTTTTTAGTTGTAGTTGGACACAATACCTTTATTTTATTTATTTTTATGTGGTGCTGAGGATCGAACGCAGGGGCTCGCACATGCTAGGCGGTGGTCTACCGCTGAGCCACAACCCCAGCCCTGCGGAGGCTGGTTCTGAACTCACAGTCCCATGGCCTCAGCCTCCCAAGCCGCTGGGATTACAGGTGTGGACCACCGTGCCCAGCTTGCCTCATAGATTTTCAAAAGCACTTTACCAAGTATGTGCTTGAAAGTTTTTGTTCACACATATTTCTAGTATTCTAAAAAAGTTTTGAAAAAACTCTAAACTCCCCTACCCATGTGCTTCTTAATGTTCTCACATCTTGAACATTTTCTTTTTGTCCAGAATTTAAGTAGTTGCAAAGGATGTCATTTCTCCCACCTAGTAGATATTGATAGTTCCAAATAAAAACTCTTAGATCACTTTTTAATGTGTCTGGCAGAACCTAAGTGATTTGCTACCCAACATTATCCATTTACAGAAGAGCAAACAGGCTCTTTAATACTCGGAAGTTTTAACCATTCCTTTTTGTTCTTTAACTTGTATTTCTGGGTCAGGCATGGTGACAGATGCCTGCAATCCTAGCAATTTGGGAGATTGAGGCAGGTGAATCTCAAGTTCAAGGCCAGCGTCAGCAACTTAGCTAGACCCTGTCTCAAAATAAAAAGAAAAAGGGCTGGGGACTTACTTCAGTGGTAAAGTTCTCTTGGGTTCAATCCCTAGTATATGAAAACAAAACAACAACAAAAACCTTGTATTTCTGTTCAATTTCCCCTACAGAATTTTTTCCTAATTTAATATATGCTTGAAGACCTTCCATTGATCACCCATCATTTCTCTGCCACAAAGTTATATTTATAAATATAAATTTATATTAGCATATATATAAATTTAAACACTTTTAATTTCCCATGACTATAAAAAATCGATTTCTTTGATTTGAATCAATTAAAATTATGAGTAGTAAACATTGATTAAAACAGCAAAAATGGATCATTGTTTTGATAATTATTAAACATAAAAAGTCATTTTATTGCTGGGCGTGGTGGTGCATGCCTGTAATCCCAGAGACTCGGGAGGCTGAGGCAGGAGGATTGCTAGTTCAAAGCCAGCCTCAGCAAAAAACAAGGCTCTAAACAGCTCAGTGAGATCCTGACTCTGAATAAAATACAAAAAATAGGACTGGGGATGTTGCTCAGTGGTTAAGTGTCCCTGAGTTCAATACCCAGTAATCCTCCCCCAAAAAAGTCACTTTATTGACTTTGTCACAGAGATGAGTGGCCTGGGGGTGATGATGTGTTTATCCTTTTTTCTTTTTTAAGAATTAAAAAGGGTTTCATTTCATATTTATTATCAGGGCTTCATATAGAATATTTTGTGATGATTATTGACTCATGGCCACCTACAGTCTTTTCAAATATTAAGTGCCACTCTTTTTTGGTAAATATTTGTTCCCCCCACACACACACACACACAAAAAAAAAAAAATTCAGGAGATGGTGATACCACTAGTATAATCCACCCAAATTATATAAATGGCAATACTGAAAATCATGCACATTATTTCACCATTTCATAAAACTTTTAAAAAACATCTATAAACATTCCTGGTGTAAAAAGATTCTTCAAAAACTGCAAGATAACATTAAGCTACAAAATTCATTTTGGAAAAGTAGGGAGTAGTTTTTTCTAATTTTGGCTTCAACATTTTTTAGGGGTTAAAAATATGATGAGGAGTGTATTGAAAGAGGTGGGAAAAGGAGCTTCCAGGAGATGGATTCAACATGTCTGAAAATATTTTGGTTATGTAAAGGGAAAACTTCAAGAACAAGGATATATTATAAATAAGTTTTTCAGCTAGTTGGACAGATGAGTAGATTTTGTATCATTTGCACCCATGGGAGAGGTCTTCTTGAAAAATACTTGTCTATAGAATCTTCTGTAAAATAGAGTTGGCGACCTCCAGTGATTCGTCTTTTACCAAAACAATATCAGAAGAGTCCATGTATTTTTTTAAAAGCTCATCTACTCTACCATTTGGATAACCAATCTTCAGAATGTGTTCAACATTGACTACCCCATCTGCCATTTTTAAATCTCCTCTGGAGTCTCCCAGCAGAATTATGTTGCTGTTGTCTTTTAGTTGACTGAAATAGTCTGTATTCTTCAAGGTACCATCATGTTTGTTAAATACATGAATCAGTTCTCCTTTAAGTCCTCTGAGGACAACACTTTCATCAAAATCCATGAAGTTGGACACTACTTGACATTTGGATGATAAACCAGCTTGATGGATAACTTCCTCTAGTATATCACCAATACCAGCTGAAAATATGAACACAGGGATACTGTGTTGGAGCTTAACAAAGAAATCCTCATATCCTTCCTTGAGCATAACGTCAGATACTTCCACAATCTCTTTAAGTTTAGCTTTTGGTATACCCTGTTCAACAATCAAACAGTGAGACTTACTCTACCATTCTACCATATAAGGGTACTTTTCTTCCACGGTAAGTATAGGATCAACTTCTATAGCATAATGCTGTTCCTTTAGTTGCAATAACTTTTTTCTTTTTTTTTTTTTTTGACATTTATCTGTAACCAGCTGATAGTTGTCAATGATATTATGACATGTTGGGCATCTTTTCCCTTTGTAGGAAACCCACTTAGTGTCATATCAATGTCTGTTACTATCTGACGTTTGGCAACTCCACCTTTGATAAGACCACAGAGAGTTTCTTCTACTGTTATAGGGTTCTTGATACCAACTGAACTTTTCTGGAATTCTGGCATCATTTGATAAGTACAGCAGGCTCTCGATTAGTCACATCTTGGTTATCCAATCTTCTTATTTGTCATAAACACTCGATCCCCAGATGTTCACGTGCACAGAGCACTATCGGGAGAATACTTAGGATGCGCTCCATCCTATTTCTCATAGACGTGGCGAATCATCTCCAAGATCCTGGTCTTGAGGCCCATCTTCCTCTTCAAGGTGAATATGTACTGGGCCAGTATCACCCCCGCCACCAGGACGCACACGCTGACTCCACCAGGACGCACACGCTGACGCTTGCCACCGCGCCACCCCTGCCACTGCTGCCGATGCACCGACAGGCCCTGGTGCGCCGCGGGTCGGAGAAGAGAAGCAAAGGCCCCCAGCCCAGGTGCGAGCCTCGGGAGCGCGGGGACGTGCGCGCCGCAGAGGCAGGACGCCCCGCCCACGCGCCGCTCTGCGCGAGCCCGCCCCGGAGAGGCCCCTCCCCCAGGACCGAGGGGTGGGGCCTATGACGTGTTTATCTTGGGCGTAGCAAATTAGCTGATGCTGGAGTGAAACGGTCCCGTCATCAGTTCTCTCCTGGATTTTCAGAAAGTCGTACGCCCGTGGCAAACCACTCAGCAAACAGAGATGGAGATCTGTGGACAAGGTGCCCAAGACGGCGCGGGTGCATCTCCAGGGCAGCGCGCCCGTGAGCAACGCCGGTCTCCTGCGTCCTCTCCTGCCTAACTCCATCTATGTGCGTCCCTGAAATAAGAAAATTGTAGAATGGAGAATAGGTCAGAGGTCGCCCTGGTGAGGAGGGGGGAAGACGTGGGCTGGCTTTGACAACAAAGGAGCCACCCAGGAGAGAGCTAATGTAGTGGAATCTTCCAGTGCTTCCCCCAGCGCCCCGCCCCCCCCCCAAGAGGTGGGGATGAAACCCAGGGCCTTGGGCATGTGGGCAGACACTCCACCGCTGCTGCAGCCCCAGCATTTCCAGTGCCTTTAAAATTGGGCTGGGGATATAGCTCAGTTGGTAGAGTGCTTGCCTCACATGCACAAGGCCCTGGGTTCAATCCCCAGCACCACAAACACAAAAAGATACATAAAAAATGTATATATTTATGGGGTACATTGTATATTTATGGGGTACATTGGAACCTGTGATGTTCCAATCAGGGTAAACATCTCTCCTGCCATGATCTCACTCACACCATTGCAGGTGCTCAGGTGAATCTGCACACCTGACCAAATGGCCAGATCCCCATACATGTGCTGTACCAGTGTCTACTTCCTGGTTTTGACTTTGTCCTTTAGCTAGTAAGTTTCTTCATCAGGAGAAACTGGGTGACATTGAACCTCTGTATCATCTTTACAACTTCCTGTGAATCTGTAATTGTTCAATAATAATTTTTTTAAAGTATGCTCTGAGAAATCTGCCTCCTGTAAATCAGTAGTTGGCCTGGTGTGAATTTTGTTATGACAGCCTCTCTTAATTCTTTGAATTCCTTCACTATAATGTGTCAGATATCATTTAGTGAAATTATCTTTATTAATAATTAATGTTTTTCCTAATGGGCAACTCTATTGGGACCTCTTTG